GAGAGGTTCCTGTGTCTGAGCCTGTTATTCTGTGGTTAGATGGACACAAGGTCCCACACTGGGGCCCTATTGCCCCTCTATCACCCCCTTTTTAGCCATGTTGAGTGGGCCTCTGTTTCTTGCTTCAAATGGAGCCTCTTGTTTCTCCAACTCCAGATAGAGAGCCTGCACACATGACTTTGTGTGTCTTTGTAAGCCCCACCCAGGCCCTGGGCTGGGGGGATCCCAGAGTGTGAAGGGGCAGAGCCTGAGAACCTATCCAGCTCCTTGCCTGGCTTGGGACCTCAATAAGCTGTGTCCACCCTCCATCCCAGGGATGATATTCCAAGTCCTGGGGGACCTGAGACCCACCCACCAGGAGCAGGTGTCCTGTGGCCTGGGCCAGGTTTGGACAGATTTGCTTGAATTCACTGTGGGTATTTCACAAGTGTGCTTAGGGATGGGGCATTTCTTTTCTTTTCTCTTTTTTTTTTAAAGTTGTGGATTATTTCTCACATTTTGTATGAGGATCCTAATTCTGAAGCTGTTTTCTTTCTCCAGCATGCTTGGGTTGTCTCATAAGGAACCCGCCTCAAAGGCAACGACACATATGCTGCCACCTAATGGAGAAAAATGATCTGTTTCTACAACTGTGTGAAGTCATGAATCACTTAACCACAGAAATACAGATACGCTCTGAGAAACACGTCTTTAGGTGATTTCATCGTTGTGTGAACATCATAGAGTGTACGCACACAAACCTAGATGATATAGCCTACTACACACCTAGGCTATATGGTATAGCTTATTTCACCGAGGCTACAACTCCTTACAGGATGTTACTGTACTGATACCGTAGGCATTTGTAACATGCCAGTATTTGTGTCTAAACATATCTAAACATAGAAAAGGTACAGTAAAAATATGGTATCATAATCTTATGAAACCGCTGTCATATATGAAGTCCATCTTTGACTGAAACGTCGTTGTGTGGTACATAACTATGTGGAAAGAGAAATTGTACGGAAAGCTTCAGTGCTTCCAACCTCTTTCTTGTTTCCCTCACACCAACTGATATATGGGTCAACTTTTTATTAAAACAATTGGGTAGTCATAGAAAATTTCCCTTTATTTCGTAATTAATAGTTTATAAAAATGTATACCATTTATCTAGGGTTTCCTATGTGCTAAACACTTTACATACGTTCCCTCAATCCTCACTGCACTCCTATGAGCTACACATTGTTATTAATCCTATTTTGCAGATAAGGAAGGTGAGATTCAGAAAGATTAAATAACTTCCAACTTCCAGAGTTCACACACTTAACCACTAGTCTGTCTTTCTTCAGCTTTAACCTTAACAACGTTTATCGACTAAAATTACACAAACATAAAAAAGGCATCCAAAATCCTGAAACTATCTCAAGCACATTCCACAGTTAATCAAATAAGTAAATATATGGCTGATAGTGAGTACCAGGTTTTTCACTGTTGAAAAAGCATAACAAATATGGAAAGGCGGAAGGTTAGAATACACCTGGTGGGGCTGGATTAGAATCAGAGGAATTGGTGTGAATGGATGGTTTATATACATAGGTAGATATAGAAACTGTTATAGGTATGTATATATTAGGTAGATATAAAAACTGTTATAGTTATATGCATGTAACTATATATACACATACATATACGTATATAATTATAACAGTTTATCTACTATATGTATTATAGGTACATATATTAGGTGTGTATATATATATCAGCCATTAACTTCAGTGTTCATAGATGGTTCTTGCCAGCCACAATTATTACTGTGATGTTAGCCAAATGGTGATTTTCCATTTCCATCCTTCCCTCTACATTTATTAATTGGAATAGATGTGTTCCATTTATTTATATATATATATACGTATATATCACACCTATATATACCTATAACCATTTCTATATCTATATGTATTTATGTGTGTGTATATATATGTGTGTGTGTATATATATATTTCCCAGCTTTGTTCTCTGAGAAAGACTAGAAGTAATGACACCCTAGTAGCTTTGGGCCCCATGGATCTTGATCGCTAAGGACCATTCTTTAATAAAAGGAATCAGGGCTCCTTGGAGAAATGTCTGATTTTAATGCTTTCACAGAGAAAGTATAAATGCCTTGGAAGATTTTGCAGTGCTAGAAAAACTGCTTGAAAATGATGAGGACACTACAAAGGACACAGGAGCAACATTGAAGGAGCTCCTGATGGTCAAATTTTAGACAATTTGAGTAACAAAGTAAATAATGATAGCAATAGATTATAACGCATAGAATGAAGCAGATAGCCATGACTCCACATTGATACAAATAAATAACTGAATAAATGAAAAAGAAAGGAAAGCTCTTCTTTGCAGTAGAATTCCAATTAATAAATGTAGAGGGAAGGATGGAAGTGGAAAATCACCATTTGGCTAACATCACAGTAATAACTGTGGCCGGCAAGAACCATCAATGAACACTAAAGTTAATGGCTGAAAATGTGATGAGAAACAAAACATTTACATAGTCGCAAAGCCTCTTCACAAGGGACTTATTAATTGCAAAGGGAGCAATAGTATAATAACTGTGCAATGGACCAGTCTGGTAGGTACCACCTTTTCCAAGTGATCAAAGTTAAGATCACCAGGAACAAGATGTATCAGCATCCTGTGCCTCCTGCTGTGATGTACTGAGAAGGACTCACTGTCCCTTCTGTGGTGTTCTTGCCAAAAATGCATAACTACAATCTAATAATGAGTAAGCACTATACACACCCAAAGTGAGGAACATTCTACAAAATAATTGGCCACCACTCTTCAAAACTGCCATCATCATGAAAGAAAAGACAGAGGAAGCTGTCCCAGATTGAATGAGGCAACTCAGTGCAATGTGGGATCCTGGAACAGAAGAAAAAAAAAGAAACCTTTGTGGGACAGTTGATAAAGTTTCAATAAAGTCTGGAGATCAGTTCCCAGTATTGTATCAGTGTTCCTATCCTGGTTGTGAGAATTATGGTAATTATGTGGTGCAGTGGTGCAGATTTTTTTGGAAAGCTGAGTGAAAGGTACACAGTATTCTTTGCACCACTTTTGCAGTGTTTTCAAAGTCTAATATTATTTCAAAGCTAAAAACTAAGACAAGCTTACAATAAAAATATATAAGTAAAAATGCTTTAAAAAGACATGACAAAGTGTGTCAGATATTTGATTATCAAAAGCCAGGAACCCTCTGGGGCTAGAGCTCAAATTCTCTTGTTTTCAGTCTCTATCAAATGAAAACTTCTGTCTGCCTTCTACCTTTATCATGACATAGAAGTAGAAAGAAGGGAAGTGTTTAGGCAGATGTTGAGCAAAACACACATAGCAAACGCTCATTCGATGTTTTGGCTGAATTGTAGAACACAGTAGACTGTCTAAACTCTCTGTTCCTGTTCTGGAATGTTCTGATCACAGCTGCTGGCTTATGTCTATCTTATAGCGATCCCCAAAGCTGCACCCTCTGTGGTCCTGAGGATCACAGGACTTAGCATTTCCTGCTTCCACAATGCTGGCCCTTGAGGGATATACTTAGGGGCCCAGAGGAAGCAGATTGTATCTGTTGAGTGCTTGAAATAATAATAGTGATGATGATTGATAATGATGATGATGATGATGATATCTAAGCTATCACATGCCAGGCACTTTTCCAAATGCTTTAATGCTTAAACCATCCCTGGGAGGAAGGGTCTGTTACTGCACACATTTACAGAGTGAGTGCATTGCTCAGCCTCTCTCGCTTCTCTACATGGCCAGTGAGTAGCGGAGCTGGACTCTGACCCCACGCAGACTGCCTCTGGAGCCCACCTTCTGATGAATGAGAATGCACATGGGGTGGTGGACTGAGTCATAGGGCACACGCAAGGTTAGTTGGGGATTAGCCTCAACCCCTTTTGGCTTTGATAGAAATCCTTCTCAGAAACTCTCGGAACAGAGTGGTGGTAAAGCACCACCTGGGACCTGTGGGAGGCCATTTTGGACCCACTTCTCAGTTTCCAGGGCTGTAGATGTCCCTGGATGGGGCCAGCGCCTGGGGTCTCCCCACCACCCCACACCATACCAGCTCCTGTTATAAGCCATTTATCTAGCTACTTAGCGCTTTCTCTTGGAAGTGCCATGCTTTGGGACACTTGGAGGTTCTGACATGGGAGTTCCTGATAGTCTCCCTTCTGGGTAAAGTCAATCCTGATGCCTGGGGTGTCTAAAACCCCTCCTGCTGCAGAGCTGAGCCCCAGTGCTGAGCCCTGAGGTAGGACAAACACCCCTCTGGGCAAGTATAGAATAGAAACTTAAATAGAAATAAACTCCAACAAAAGCAAACTTCCTGGGGTTTTCCTCCTGCCTCCTCACATCCTCTGAAAGGTGTGTGGACCAGGAGTCCTGACCTTGCCTGGGCCCTCTCTAGGCTTTAGTGAACTCAGCTGTGAGTGAGGGGTAGGAGTTGATGATTTCCCGTGTCTCTGCTTCCAGTGCCTTCACATTATGGCACCCAGGGCTTGTGACAAGAGCAGAAGGAAGCCAGACCCATTCCTGGTGGACTTGAAGGTGTTAGCTCTTTGTTCCCTGGAAGCGTGTGGCCACAGCATTAGGGAGGGCTTGCCACTGCTCTGTCCACACACAATTAGGGCTGAGGTGACTCAGAAGCAAGCACACCATGTGTTAAAATAAGAGTTGGTGTTTCTGAGAAGGGAAGTCCAGGAGCTGACCAGGATGGGATTAGCTGTTGATAAGGGGCCCGGCATTGTTCTAGCTCTCCCCTGAGGCCCACACCACATCCTAGAAGAGAAGCCAGGTCCCTCGGCCCTACCAGGGCTGGGACAGTCGGGGCACAGCTGCAGGAGACGCCCTGGGAGGCCGTCTGGGCTGTGGCAGGAGGAGGCAGGGCGGTGCAGTGGTTGGGAGGCGGCTGCTCTGCCTCTGTTGAGTTTTCTGGCTTTGTCACTTGACGTTGATTCTCCCCTCAGGGCCAGAGTGGGGTCAAGTGGGGGACCATGGAGGAGGACATGAGATCCTAACAGGTCACCTCAAACTGCTGTACAAGCCCAGCAACCCTGACCGCTCCCCCTCCCACAACCCGCAAAGGTCAAGGCCAGTGCCAAGAAGTGTGGGGAGGGCGGTGTGGGGGACTCTCCAGTTTAGACTCTTCAGTCTCGAAAAACAAAGGCTGACAGGAATGTGAGGAAACCACTGTTTACTCTGTTTTCAAGGGTGTTCCACTGAAGTGTGTCCCGAGATGTTTCCAGAAGGAGGATGACGGGGGTGGTGCTGAAGAGGCTCTGCCATGGGAAATGGAGCCGGAGATGCTGGCCAGAACTCTGGGTTCTCTGGAAGTGGTGGGAGGAAACCCGCAAGAGGGAAGAGGCCATCGCTCCTTTAACTCCCAGGGGAACAGACCGCAGGAGCCGAGGGTGCTAGCCCTCTTTGAAGCTGAGAGGGAGCAGGAAAGGAAGGGACTCAGGGGATCTCATGGGAGCCAGTAGGGCCCAGATTTAGGATCCGAAATTGTGCCTACGAGAGCGGTGAGCATTGGAGACGCTCCTAGGGGATGGTTGGTGGAAGGCAACAGGAATCTGTGAATGCTGGCTTAGCTTTAGAGGGACTGAGGGTGAGGATCTCACAGAGCCCAAAGGCAGGATTCAGAGCCCCGCCTCCAGGAGGACAAGAATGGGGACATTCCTTGGGGACAAAGTTGGGCTCTCAGTCACTGTCTCAGACCTTCTCACCAGCCTGTCTGGTTGCCCGTCTCCGCCGTGCGCCTGTAGACCCTGTCTGATCATTGCTGCTCATGGTTTCAAAATGTATTTCCTCAGATGGTGGCCCCAGGCCCTGAGCCTTGTGATCTTCTGGATATAGAGCTCATGCAGCCGGCTAACCAGAGACCCTGTGTCTCAGCCCCAGACCCTAGAAAGAGAATGTGATTGTTCCAGACTGGCCGGGGATTCACCCCCTAGTTTAGTGGGTTTGGCCACGCGGCAGGCCCACAGGAACAATGCAGGAGCCCTCCACTTCCTCTCCAGCTGTGGGCAAGGGCAGTTCTTGTATCCCAAAGAGGGAACCTAAAGAAACAAGGGAAATATGGGAGGCAGGAGATTGGGTGGAACTAGAAGTGGAGGATGGGGTCGTGGAGGGGGATCGGATTAGGGACAACACAAGGACCCACACCCACGAGCTGCACAGTTCATTCCTAGATAAAGACGAGAGGTTTGGGCTTTTATAAACTAAAATTTCCCATGAAGAGAATCTATAACCCGACTGCCATTGATAAGTGAAAAAGTCTGGCTTCTCTAGGAAGCCATTTAGCTCAAGATAACCTCAGGGAGAGAAATAGGTTTAGGAGTGACCAAGTCTTCATGGCCAGGATGGAAATGTCCTGCCTAGAAAGAGGCCATAAGGAAAAAGTCCAGAAGTGCATATGTGTGTGAGCCTGGACCCCACCATACCCCAGTGAAATCAGAATCTCTAGGGGTGGGACTGGCCAGGTGATTCCCACAAGCACCCAGGATTTCAAATCACTGGCCTAGGAACAGCTGACAGGCCATTCACCTTTTCTCCATGACAGGAGCTCAGATATTTGGAGATTGCCAATAGAAGTCAATGTGACAGAGCTTGCCCTGTTTCCTGGGCCGTGGGCTCTGGGAACTGGCATCTCAGAGCCTCATGGCCCAGAGGAGCTGTGGAGCTACCCCTGTTCACATTCGTGAAGCCACCCAGCACCCTTAGTAGAGCAGCTCTGTCCTATCCCCACTGGGTGTTCCAGCAGTAAAGATGTGGGTGGTGCTCACAGAGTCACAACCATCCTGGTTTTCTGGAACTTTCTCAGTTTCAGTACTGAATGTTCTGTGTCCCAGGAAACCCTACAGTCTGGGTAAACTGGGGCATTGGTCACACAGTGGCACTCAGCTGAGGGTCAGGAGAGCCCAGCTGACGTCTTTCAGCCCTGACACAGGCCCCACGCCCACGCTCCACAGCCGCTCCTGGCCTGGGAGCTCCAAGCCCAGCATCGTTCTCGGCGCTGGGCTCTCCCTTGTCCTGGAGAATGTTGACTTTTCTCACACCCACATGTACACATGCACAAGCAAGAAGGAAAAAGAAATGCAGGCATTGTTCAGACTTATAGCAGGTTATATTCTAGGAAAAGGTGGTGTAAGTCAAAAAGATAAAAATTGAATCCATTTTCCCACAGAAACAATACCTTGATGAGAAATCCTGAGCCAGGGAAAGAAGTCTATAAAAAGTTCTGTCCTGGTCACAAAAAAATTTCCCTAAACCCCTCTAAATATCTCTCTTAGGTTAATACCAGGCAAAATGGTCTCCTAGAGAAATCAGCCCCCAAACATAATTAACCGTAAATTAAAACCTCTACCCTCGGCAGTGTGAGTGCTCTCAAAGTGCATATACATCAAAGGAAAAGAGCAAATCAGTGCTCAGCCACAGGCAGTGTTATTTTATTTGTTGAAATGATTCCGCATGTGAAGGGCCACTCAAACTAGAGCGGTGGTTCTCAACCTTGGCTGGGCCTTGGAGTCACGGGAGCTGTTGCACCTGCTGGCGCTTGGTCCCAACCCTGGATAAGCTGATGAACTGCAGTGTGGCTTGGACACACAGAGTTTTCAAAGCTCCACGAGTGATCCCGATGTGCTTCCAGGGCAGAGCACCGATGGGAGAGAGGAGGTACAAGGCCTGGAAGAAGCATCTGGAGGAGCTGATGGGTGGTGGCTCTACCTGGGGCTGAGAGCCAGTGAGATCTGCTGGGAAGGAGGGGCGTGGAGGAAAAGCTGCCTGAGCTCAGGGGTCCAGGCCTAGGGTCTTGAGTGCTGGAACATGGAGACACATACTGACTGAAAATGAACCCTTAGCAGTCATCCAAGTCAATCCTGTCATTTCGCAGATGAGGAAATAGATCTAGAGAGGTGAAGGGATATGCCCAAGTCCCCCAGTGTTTAGAAGGAAAGTTAAAACATAGGTAGGCCGAGTGTGGTGGCTCACGCCTGTAATCCCAGCACTTTGGGAGGCTGAGGCAGGCGGATCCCTTGAGCCCCGGAGTTCAAGACCAGCCTGGCCAACATGGCGAAACCCCGTCCCTACAAAAAAATACAAAAATTAGCTGGGCGTGGTGGCGCATGCCTGTAGTCCCAGCTACTCAGGAGGCTGAGGTAGGAGGATCACTTGAGCCCGGGAGGTCAAGGCTGCAGTGAGCTATCATCATACCACTGCACCCCAGCCTGGGTGACAGAGTGAGACCCTGTCTCAAAAAACCAAAACCAAACCAAAACAAAACAAAACTAGGTATTTTGATTCCTTGTCCTGTACGGTGGTAAGTCCTTACTTAACATTGTCCATAGGTTTTTGGAAACTGCAACTTCAAGTGAACTCAAGTAGTGTCATTTTATTCACTATCATTTTGTTACATTAATAAGAAAAAAAATTAGTTTCACTATACGTTCTTTTGCTTCAAGTTGCAGTTTCCAAGAACCTATGGACAAAGTTAAGTAAGAACTTCCTGTACTGTTTTCGCATTGTGGTGGTTTTAAACTATGCCCGAAATTCTTTGATACTCCTCCCTTCAAAAGGTGAAGCTTAATTCCCCTCCCCTTGAGTTTGGTCTGGACTTAGTGCAAACCTTAAACATTTTAAAACATTAAAAAATGTTTAAAAAAAATTTTTTTTAAAAAATATTTATTTATTTATTCATTTTAGAGTCAGTGTCTTGGTCTGTCACCCGGGCTGGAGTGCAGTGGTGCAATCATAGCTCACTACAGCCTCGACCTCCTAGTTTAAGTGATCCTCCTGCTTCAGCCTCCTGAGCAGCGGGGACTACAGGCACTTACCACCATGTCTGGCTAATTTTAAAATTTTTTGTAGAGGTGAAATCTTGCTATGCTGCCCAGGTTGGTCTTGAGCTCCTGACCTCAAGCAATTCTCCTGCCTCGGCCTCCCAAGTTGCTTGGGTTACAGGTGTGAGCCATTGTGCCTGGCCAGTGACTCACTTCTAAAGACAGAATACAAGGGAAGTGATGGTATGTGACTCAGAGATGAGATCCTAAATGGCATTGTAGCTTCTGCCTTGTTTTCTCTCTTGTGTCATTCACTCTGGGGAAAGTCAGCTGACACTCGTGGCCTTGTGGAGAGCCCCACGTGGTGATGGGCTCAGGCCTCTCTCCAGCAGCCTCGAGAGGGCACCATCTTGGAAGCAGACCCTTTCAACCCAGGCAAGCCTTTGGAGGACTGCAGTCTTGGCTGACGTCTTGACTGCAATCTCATGGGAATCCCTGAGCCAGAATCATTCAACTAAGTCACTCTTAATTATAATTCTTGACCCACAGAAACAGAGAGAAAAAAATAATAGTTTATTGTTTTAGGTAGCTAAGTTTTGGGGCAGTTTGTTACACAGCAATTGATAATGACTACACACACCACCCTAAAATATATATATATTTTTTGAAACGGAGTCTCACTCTGTCACCCAGGCTGGGGTGCAGTGCCGCGATCTTGGCTCACTGAAAGCTCCACCTCCCAGGTTCACATCATTCTCCTGCCTCAGCCTCCCAAGTAGCTGGGACTACAGGAGCCCGCCACACCACGTTAATTTTTTGTATTTTTAGTAGAGATGGGGTTTCGCCGTGTTAGCCAGGATGGTCTTGATCTCCTGACCTCGTGATCTGCCTGCCTCGGCCTCCCAAAATGCTGGGATTACAGGCGTGAGCCACCACACTCGGCCTAAAATATAATCTTTCAGAGTCAGTGACATCCACAAACTCAAGTATAGTGGGAGAATATGAATGAAAAGAATAGAAAGTGTAGCAACATTTTCCTTCTAAGAAAGAGTAAGGTTGGAGGGGTAGGAAAATTACTCCCTACTAATCGTTTCTGTTTATGAAGACTGGTGGGGAATGGAGAAAGGAAAGATGCAAGCTTCAAGGCACCTGGCAGTTCTTCACTCCGCTGGTGCTTACAGCCTAGAGCAGATGGCTTTTGTTTTAGCAGAGCTCAGGAAGCAGGCCTGATACTGAGGAACGGCGGAGAAACAGGACTGAGCAACTTTTAAGAATCATGTGTCTAACGTGTAATCATATCATTTGTGTTGGTGTGTGACAAAACTCTTCTGGTAACTTCTAAGCCTCCTGTGAAGTCCACTGAACACACAAAAGCCTTAAGGGGCCCCAAAAAGGGGGTCAGGTTTCCAGCATGGGTCCGTGCTGAGCAGATGGTGGGGATTGAGTAAGGAGAGGCCCATGTGAGGCCGGGGGCTGAGTGGAAGCTGGAGCTCAGGGCCAGAGAGAGCAGAAAGCTCCTATGCAGCCGCATGCATCAGGGGATGTCAGGACATAGAAGCCATTCTGCATCTTGATGGCCTCAGCCTGAAGCCTGGGTGTGAGGGAAGAAGTGACAGGCATGGGAGTTCTTAGAAATCGGCCATGTACCTCCATCTGATGAAGCGCCACGTCTGTTCTTACTAACCTCTGAGAACAATGACTTCTGCTTCCCTTCTGCCTTCCAAGTCCTGTGCAAGATCCTCTTGTTGGCAAACTCTAACCTGGGAGCATGAGGAAGAGGATGGGGGGGAACAGTTTCCAGCCCTAGGTAGACGTGGTAGTGGTGACGTGTTGACACATGGGGGCTCCGCTTCGGACTTCCCAATGAATAAGGCCAGGGAACTACAGCTGATGGCTGGGTCATCCGAGAGATGTTCAATCTTTACTTTCTATGATGACAGAGCAAAGCAGCCTATTTGCTATTTACTTTCCAGATGATATCTTCAAGAAACTTCTGAAAATAGGTCTTTGTGTCAACCAGAAACTGCTGGTCAGAGGATAAGTTCTGGAGTTTTCTTGTATGGCATGGAGACTATAGTTAATAATAATATATCATATATGTGAAAATTGCTGAGAGTAGATTCTAAACATTATTATTTATTTATTTTCTTAGTGTTTTCACCCCACTTCAATAAGCCAGTCGAAGACCGTAGATTTTACATGTTCTCACCACAAAAAATGGTTAAGTATGTGGGATGATAAATATGTTTGATTTACTCATTCCACAGTGTATACATACATCAAAGTATCATTTTGTGAACTATAAATATATCATTTCTCATTTGTCAATTAAAAATATAGCACACACGTGCATGCATACTACATATAAATATGCATTTTAAAACTGCTGGTCAGGAATCAGAAGGTCTCCATGGGTGGTGTCACAGGACTCCCCCTGGCAGCCTCCCTCATGGTTCTGAGCCCTCCTCAGTCACTCTTTTGTTTAATGCTTTAATCCCTGTTATGTAGAAAGCTTCCCTTCAGCTCATGGTAGGCCTTTATCTTACCAGTGGTCAAATAGGTACAGGAAACATTGCTTGCTTTGTGTTTGGTGATTTGCGGTGCACACGAGTACATTAAAGACTCTAAAAACATGTTTTTTCAGAGCATATCTATGACAGCCTGCAGTGTTGGAGGTGAATGGCTTCTTCAATGCCAATGTGCAATTAAATGGGAGGAACAGAGATGCTGTCTTGGGAAGTATAGACACAAGGAGAAAAGAGTCATGAGGCTGGCCAGTAAAGAAAACAACTCAAGAAGAAGTTGTGTACACTTGCCACATTATGTCATGCAAGATAGGAGTTGTCAATAATTTCCAAATTAATATATTGCACAAAAGGCCTGGGAGTTATCGTGGCTGTTGACAGCACAGTGTTGGTGAGTACCCCTCCCCAGCATGTAAGATAACATCTGTCTTGGCCTCTGTAATTAAGAACAGATGCGAATCCATTTCAACCTTTCCATGCTCTAGGAAGAAAGGGCTGCCATGCAAATGAGTCCAGCAGGCCAGTGTGCACTAGAAGTCTTTTCACTTTGGAAGAGCAAACATTGATTTCAAACTTCCTAGAAGTACCTGTTTGAAGCCCTGTCAGTAGCCCAACAGATTCAGAAAAGATACCCTTCCCGCTTTAGACACCCGACCACCACTTGCCAGAGAACAGTCATAGATGTTCAAATTCCCCATCACGACCATGTGAAGGGGCTGCTAGAGCTTGCAGTGCACTTGCGACGCCTACGGGCATCTCCATATTTTGAAAGACGTACCACGGGTGGTTCATGTTCTGGGGGTTGTCTGATGGATGACATTCTATCAGCTTTTACTTGGATCTATTGAATGTCCTTTAATGACAAACACTATTCTCCAAAAAATTTCCACTTTTTATTCTCTCTTAATTCCTTTCTCTCCTCTGTCTGCTGTCATCATCTGATTGGTAGAAATCCTACTAGCTGCCTGTCCTGTCTTATTCATAGGGACAGCCACCTACATCTGTGGACTTCTCTTCTTCCTCTCCCAGCTGCCTGCCCTGTCCTGGTCCCTTGAGGTGGCTTTCCTCCCCGAATCTGCTCCTGGACAGTCCTTATGGTCCCCTGATTTGCATCTCTGCTCCTTTCTCCCCAGGCTGTGGGAACCTCCAAGAGAAGGGAGATGGAGAGCCCTGCTCAGAAAAAGTGGCCTATGAAGCTGTGGCTGGGTCCCCAGCATCCTCGGCCTTCCTTGTTCATGGAGGAGGTGTCCTGTGGGTGTGGGGACAGTGGGCTCAGGAGTAGCATCAGCAGTGAGGTCTGGTGAGTGAGCTGGTCAAGCAGGCAGAGTAACCAGAGGTGAAGATGAAAGTCGTGGATTTGGGCACACAAGAGCTGGCTCCTAGGAAAATCAGCTAGGGCTGGCAGCTTAAGAGACTAAAAGGTTCTCCTAAGTCCAGGGAAGGGGGTCAAAGTCCACAAAACAAGGACCTTGCCCCCGCCCTCCCAGCAAGTGACACATAGATTAGGTCAGATACTCAAGTGGGGCTGTGAGACTTAGACACATCCCACGTGTGGCAGATATTGATGGGGTGAAACACTGAATCTGGAATGCGGCTCTAAATTTGAATTCCAGTTCAGCAGTAAACTCACCACGTGACCTTGGAAGAGACCCTGCACCTCCCTGAGCCACAGAGCCCTTTACTGCAAGCTGAGGATAACATCCGTCCTCAGCACCCCAGAAGTGTGTTGAGAGGAGAAAGGGTTAGAGGCCTGGGGGTTCCTTGTGAGCAGTGATGAATGGAGGGGTCTATGAAGGGGTGGTTGAAAATCGGGGTGCTCCAGGCCAGGGATAGGGATCCTGGCAGTGGAGTGGGGGAGAGATTCGAGAACAGAGTATCTCCAGGTTTTGCCATCTGTAGGGGTCAGAAGAATCCCGCCTTGACCTTGGGCTATTTCTGGAGAGCTGGCCAGGCATCTCTCATGATGGCAGCAGCTGGCTGTCTCTCCTTTGGGGCTGGCTGCCTGCTCCTTGACTCTGGCTGGACCCGCTCCAGGCTGAGCTGTCACTGGGTGAGCTTTCAGAGCCAAGGTAGGACAGAACCCAGGCTGAGCCCTCTGGAGAACTTGCAGTATCTCAGAGGCACTTTAGTTTCTGAAGGGAGGAGAAAGCCTTGCAAGTTTAGTCCACAGTAGCCTGGAAGAAGCTGTCTCACTGGGGAGTCTGAATTGGTCAATATTTCCTAGCCCTGTCACCACCACAACTTGACAATTGCTTCAGGCATTAATTACCCTTTGCAATAACCTTCTCATCAAGTCACTTCTCCTTTCAACAAATTTGTAGTAAGGGCCGATGTGGCCCCCATGGAGCTTACAACTTAGTGCATCAACAAGTAAATAAACATGAAAAAAACAATATAATTCTGACTTGTGGTAAGAGCTCATAAGGAAGTGAACTGGGTGCAGTGTGGTCAGGTGGTCAGGGAAGGGGCTCTCTGGAGAGACATCATTGAAACTGAGGCTCGAAGGATGAGAAGGGGCCAGCTAAGTGGACAGCGGGGGGATGGGAAGGTGTTCCAGGCAGAGGGAACAACACATGCAAAAGCTTCAAGGCAGGAGAGGGCTCAGGGCCTTAGAGATACCAAGGAGGTGAGGGGGACTGCACTGTAATGAGTGAAGAAGACAGAGTGTCGAGACCAGTCAGAGAGACAGGCAGGAGTCAGATAGGGCAGGGCCTTTTAGGCCAGGGGAAGGAGCTGGGATTGTCTTCCCAGTACAATGGGAAATTCTAAAGGGTTTTAAGGAGAGAGTGATGGCATCTAATTTGCAGTGAAAGGTTACTTTGCTCTGTGGAAAGACAGAAGAATAGAAGTAGGAAGCCCCTGAAGTAGTTTGGGTGACATACTATGATAATGTAGCAGACAGGATAGGCTAGGTTGTGCTGCAGTAACAGGCAGCCCCCATCTCAATGCCTTAACATAGCAAAGATTTATTACTCTGTCATGCATCAGCAGAAGGGCTCTGTTGATCTTAATCACTCAGGAATCTAGGTGTGGGTCTCATCTGGACATGATGTCCATAATCCCCATGAAAGGAGACAGGAAGTATATTAGTTCTTTAAATTCCCACCAGAAGTTACAGATGTCTCTTCACATGTCATTGACCAAACAGGTCACAGAGGCAAGCCTAACTTCAGATGAAGTGGGAGATTGCCATCATGCCACAAACCCAGAGAAACTGTATCACACTAATGACCACCACAGGCCAGGAGAGTGAAGACAGAGAGAAGCAAATGAATCCAACGCACATTTTGGAAGTGTCAGCTGAAGAATTACAAGGGTCATACATTTAGAGAGGATAACCTTATTTCTCCTAAAGAATTGTAGCTTGCAGTGTGTCCATTCTGACAAGCTGGGAAGCATTGCCTTGGGTCAGAAGCTGAGAACAGGCACTTTGAGGGTGGGAAGACTAAGACAGGGATTTATGCTGAGTGGGATGGCCAAATATAAGCATGTCATGTGCGGCTGAGCATCATGCTGCTCTGTGGGTCCCACGTTAAAAAATATGGTAGCATTAGCATGATCCAAGGGTAGAGTTTTCGGTTCTCTGGTGTCGAAAGGTAAAGCAGAGGACATGAAAACCCTCACTGTGTATCCTCACAGGTTGGTTTCAACTTGGCTGGTTGAATTTAGGGGCATGGCAAGTCTTTTGAAAGAGCTGGTTACTGTTTAGCCCTTAGGGAAGAAAGCCTCGTGGTGGTTAGTGAAGAAGGGCAGATAAGGAAGCTTGTCTCACCTCTGGTTGCATCGTGGGTGGGAATTCAGTTTCCAAGGTTTCTCCGAGGTCCTTTAGACCAAGAAGGGATCTATTCACTTAGTTTGGGGCTGGATTTCATTTTTATTTCTCAGAAGTAAAAGTGACAGGCCTTCCTGATGAGTTGTATGTAGAGCAAGGGGAGGAGCTGGGAGAGTCTGATGATTCCAGGTTCCTCAGGGCCTGCTGCTTGGTGGTCCCATTTGCTAGAGCAGGGACTGGAATGAAAGGCGTGGAGCCGGACATACTCCAGTGTGGCAACTGGATTATACAAATCTGGAGTTTGGGAAAGGGGGTTTGGGCTGGAGGTACAAATTTGGGTGTCATCAAATAGAGATAGCGATGAGCGCTTTATGAATTGGGCCTTAGAATTCAGACTGAAACTTACACCACTGGCTTCCATGGTTGTCCATCCTTTGAACTCGGACTGAATTACACCACTGACTTTTCTGATTCTCCAGCTTATGGACAGCAGATGGTGGGACTCTTTGGCCTCCATAATCACATGAGCCTCTTCCTATAATACATTTCCTTATATATATGTAATATATGTGTGTGTCCTGTTGATTCTGTTTCTCTGGAGAAAGCTGACTAATACAATATTTCCTCCCAAAACTTTTTTTTTTTTTTTTTTTTACCACTATGCATTTCCACCAACAATATTTAAGAGTCCTATTTTCCCATCCTTCACTAATCCTGAAAAATCTTTCCGGCTGGGCGTGGGAGGCCAAGGCAAGTGGATTACCTGAGGTCAGGCATTTGAGACCAGCCTGACCAACATGGCGAAAGCCCTCCTCTACTAAAGATACAAAAATTAATGTGGCATGGTGGTGCATACCTGTGATCCCAGCTTCTTGGGAGGCTGAGGCAGGAGAATCACTTGAACCCGGAAGGTGGAGGTTGGAGTGAGCCTAGATCATGCTACTGCACCCCAGCCTTGGTGGCAGAGCAAGACTCCATCTCAAAAAAAAAAAAAAAAAAAAAAAAGAAAAGAAAAATATTTCTGAATCCTTGTGGCTAGTGCTCTAAAGTGCAGCACAGTGGAAGGGCAGAGACTCGGAAGCAGGCTGACTTTGGCTGCATTCCTGGCTTCTGCTTGTTTCTAGTTTTGGGCCTTCTAGTGGGCAAGTTACGTAGCCTCTGTGAGCCTTGTTTTCCATAGCTGCAGAGTGGGGTTGCAATCGTATTAATTAAAGTCTTTTTAGCGGCAATTACCAGAATGACCTCTGGCTAGCTTACTGGGCCTTTATTAGAAGGGCCTGGGGGTAGCTCATGGCTTTTGAGGCAGGGCAGGGCCACCTAACTTCAGCAGGGCCTGAAAGGCCAGATCCAGGTGGTCAGCAGCAGATTCATGGGTTTCCCCTGCAGAGCGGGGCTGCTCAAATTCTGTGGTTGAAGGACCAAGTCTTTAAAAACTTCAAATGTTACATTCCAGTGCTTTTGGAGATGCCATAAAGTTCAATTACTAGAAACAAGAAATTAAGAAACATACACAAGACCCCATTTTTAATTATTGAGTCTAACAGACATAAAGTTACTTTGTCAAATTGCTGTGAGACTTGCTAAAAGCTTACTCGATTTCTGCGCTTACCTGGTTGAACACTGACGACAAACACTTCAGCATCTTCCCTAGCTTGAGACAACACTTGGGGCAGCACTGTCCACCCTAAAGCATTGCTAAAAGCAAGCTCACTTCCAAGGCTTTGCTCTCAGGTCAATGTTCCACAGTCTTGGAGGGGGAATCTGATTGCCACAGACTGTGTCACATCTCAAAGGAGACAGCCATAGAGTATGTGCATCGCTTTGGGAAGACATTTTCATCTGCGGCCACCCAAACCTGTTGAACACCCCATGTAACTTCCCACATTGTGACTGTTGCCTTCGTTGTGTAGAATCTAGAAATCTACGTTTCCCAGTTTCTCTGGCTACTCACAGGGTTTAGGTTTATGTTCATTCATGTTTGAGATTTTGACTCAAGAGTGGGTATGAAGCAGAGATAGGGCTTGGGGTGGTGATTTTGCTAACATGGGGAAGCCAGGGTAACTGAGATTTTGGGGTGCCAGCAAGACCAGCTCTATATCAGGCCAGTTCAGTGGGGTCATAGGAGGCTCCTGGAAGCCTACCTAAAGCCTATTTCTCCAGCTGTCTAATGATTTTTGAGCTCGCTTTCTTTGTTTCTTTGTTTGCTTTTATGAGACAGGGTCTTGCTCTGTTGCCTAGGCTGGCGTGCAGTGGTGTGATCACAGTTCACTGCAGCCTCAAACTCCTGGGCTCAAGCAATCCTCCCACCTCCCTCCTGAGTAGCTGAGATTACAGGTGTGCACAACCACACCTGACTACTTTAAAGTGGAGATGGGGGTTACACTCTCTTGTCCAGGCTGATCTCCAACTCTTGGCCTTAAGTGATCTTCCTGCCTCAGCCTCCTGGTTTCCTGAGCTTTTTTTTTTTTTTTTTTTTTGAGACAGAGCCTTGCTCTGTCGCCCAGATTGGA